GGCGCTCCCGCCCGCCCGACTGCCCCCCTTGCCGGGGCCGGTCTGGAAATAGGGGTCCAGCTAGGGAGCCACAGCCCCACCTTTCCCAGCACTTAGATTTAAAGGGACAGGAATTGCGTAATGGGAAGGCGCCCAGCACCCAGAGCGCTCTCTGTCCCCTCCCGGGAGCCGCGAGGTGAAGCCCGGCAGAGCAGGCCCAGGGCGGTCTGGGGGCGCCCGGAAAGTTTCCGCTCCCCCACCCCTTGCCTCGCCCCTCGCGCCTGGCTCCTATACGCGACGCCTCCCCCTGACTTGACTGAAGAGGCTCTAGGCAGACCACAGGTGGTTTTCCCTATGACAAATAATCCGTCTTTTTTCCTTACAGGCAGTTTGGGTCCACATGTGGGAGGAAGGGGAGAGCTCGCCTCAGAAAACAGGAATTTGGCGAACGCCCCCTCCCCATAAATTAAGAGAAAGTCTGGCCATATGCACGCATCTTGGAGTAAAGACACCCAAATTCCTTCCCTTCCCTGCGCCCTGGCCAACAGGTAGCCCCCCACTCCGGCAGCGGTCGCACTTTGGGGGAGCAAAGTGGGATCGCCATTCGCGTTGCTAAGTCTCTCTCCACACGTACTCCCACCCCCTACCCCCACCCCCAAGAGATGGTGTCTGATTCCTGGATCCGAGTATCCTGGGACCGATTTAAAATGCATTTCCTGGACTATAAATCCGCAGGCAGAAGCCCGCGTTCCCAGCCCTCCCAGGGAACGTGTGCGGCAAATGGCAGCAGCCAGGGATGCGGAGCACCGGTCTGAGCTAATAGGAGTGCGGGCAGGGTAGCCGCATGGAGCCAGGATTTGCAAGCCAGGCCACGGAGCCTGAGATTTAGGACGCAGGAAAAGGTGCAGTTTGAAGCATCTAATGTGCTGGGGGCCCTGCTTGCAACTTCTCCTGCCTGCGTGGTTCCCACCTTTGGCTAAACAGACTCTCACTGAAAAACTAGCCCCTCCTCGGACTCCAGGAGTTCAAGTCAACTTTCTACCTTGCCCTGGGCACCAAAAGCCCCCTTTCTAAAGCGCCACCAGCCTGGAGGGCAGTCCTCTTACCCACCCCCCTGCGCAGGGACATTTAGGGCCTCTCCAGTTTTGCTTTGTGATTTGCAGTTACACTGTTCAATGCCCCTTCTGGTTGGTGTCCCGCTGTGCTATCTGGAAGGTTTCTCTGAATGCCTAGGGGTGGGCGGTTGGGTCAAGCACACCTTGGACTTAATAGAAGCTGCTACATGGCTCTCCAGAACACCTGGAGTGATCTCTTTCTCAGCCTGCAGGGCCCTCGCCCTTCTGGTTCTCCACTTTCTGGCCAACACTTGGTGTTTTCAGACTTCCTATTATGTTTCCATTTATTTATTTTGTCAATCTAAATGGGTATGAAATAGCATCTCAGGGCTGTTTGATATAAATGGAAAATTACATATTGTGAATGTGTAGGCAAAAGACTGCAGACTTTCCTCACCAGGTTCAGGTTCAAATCCTGCCTCCAGGGCCGGCCAGCTGTATGGCTTTGGGCAGTCACTTAATATGTCTGAGCTCAGTTTTTCTCATCTGTAAAATGGGCATAATCATAGATCCCATAAGGTTGCTGTGAGAATTCAAGGAGCTGGGCACCCAGCACATGGTAAGCACTCAAGAAGTGGGAAGTGGTGCTGTTATTAAGAGGCTAGCCCCCCAGGGAAGGGCATGGATTCTACATGGGACACCCAGCCTTCTGCCTGCTCCCCCAACACTGTTGACGTAAAATTGCCATTTCTCTTGTACACTCTGCACTTTCTTCCATTTTAGTTCCAGCCCATTTTCTGCTGATTCAGCAGCTCTTCCTCACAAGAGCAGTGGATTGCAACTGAGATCTTGTTGGAAAATAGTGATTGGTTCCAAACAATTACTGGTCAGTACCTTCTACCTCTGGGTAACGCATCCCTTTACCCCTGGCAATTCCAATACAGTACCTCCCCGGCCCACCAACTGACCCTCCCTCCTCAGCCATGTACCGTCAGGTTAGCTCCAGCAGTGACAGACTCTCTTCTCTGAAATGCAGATATCAGAGGCACTCATTTTGTGCAATTTGAAAATGGTTCTCCTGTAAAGTAGGGCTGGCGGTATTGATTTCATTTTGGAGGAAACTCTCCAAGGCTATAAACACAGTACCACCCAGCAATTTCAAAACAAAAACCAGGGAGAAAAAACAAGAAGCTCTACCACCACGCGGAATTTCATGGCTCTTTGCACCCATCTGAGGTGAGCCCCTCATGTTAATGATCTCATGGGCACTCCTCAGGTGACCTGGTCTTACACACTCTCCTTTCCTTTTGTAAAGACCAATGTGGAGCCGCCTCAGCGAGGTGCCTGGCCAAAGGGAAAAATAATGACCGAGCAGGATTCCAGCCCAGGCTTTCGGGCTCTCCAGCCCGTAACTTTCTGGCCTCGGGGCACTGCGCTGACTTTCCCTTGCCTGCTCCCTCTTCCCTCACCAGGAAGTTTTCCAGATTCAGCTCCAGAAAGGATTCCCAGTTTCCCTGTATAAGAAATGCCCCTCTTTCATTTCCATGGAAGCCTGTTGGTTTCCTTCCAAGAACCAAGCTGTGGTCTGCAGTTACCTGTTGTCTTCTTGTCTGTGCCTGTGTTTACCCCGACACCTGTGAGATGCCTGCACCAACACCTCCCATTCCACAGCTCTCCCAAGACTTGGGCTGATGCTCCCACTGCTGAGAGCTGGGCCAGCTGGTGACTTCAAAGGTTAGAGTTTCTGCCTCTCGATCTCGGGATGCTGGAGCTTGGAACCGAGTCACCATGCTGTAAGGAAGCCCAAGCAGCCTGTGGAGAGGCGCACAAGGAGAGAGACGGGGACTCCAGCCCACTGCCCCAGCTGGACTTCCGGCCAACAGCCAGCACCAATCGACAGCCAGCCGTATCAGTGCACCATCTTGAAGCAGATCCCCCGGCTCCCGTCGGCACCTCCAGCTAATGTCACGTGGAGCAAGACCCAGCCCTTGGAGCTTTCCCTGCAGTGCCTTCTCATCATTTTAATGTCTTTTTTTCTTGAGGTATAATTAACATACAACATTATATTAGTTTCAGGTGTACAACAGTTTCAGGTGTACAACATACATGATCTGATATTTGTATGTAGTGTGAAATGATCACCACAATAGGTCTAGTTAACATCTGTCACCGTCATATAGATACAGAATTTTTTTCTCGTAATGAGAACTTTTAAGATTTACTCTCAGCAACTTTGAAACATACAATACAGTATTATTAACTATAGTCACCATGCTGTGCGTTACATCCTATGACTTCTTTATGGAACTTCAAATGGAAGTTTGTACTGTTTGACTCCCTTTATCCATTTCATCCACCTCCTACCCCCACCTCTGGCAACCACTAATCTCTCCTCTATGTCTATGAGCTTGGTTGTGTTGTTTGTTTGTTTGTTTGTTTTAGAGTCCACATGTAAGTGAGATCATACAGCATTTGTCTTTGTCTGTCTGACTTCACTTAACATAATGTCCTAGGGGGTCCATCTGTGTTGTCACAAATAGCAAAATTTCATTGTTTTTTATGGCTAAATAATATTGCATTATATATATATAAAATATATTTATATATATACACCACATTTTCTTTATCCATTCTTCCGTCAATGGACACTTAGGTTGTTTCCATCAAAATTTCAGTTTCTGAACAAAATAAATTATTGTTGTTATGTTAAGCCAGGCGGGGATCATGCAAACCGCAGCTCTGGGGCCAAAGCCAGCTCACTGCCTGTTTTCATAAACAAAGTTTGGTTGGAACACGACCACGCCCATTCGTTTACGTCTGTCTACTGCTGCTTTCACACCACAAGGGCAGAGTTGAATGGTTTCGACAGAAACCCCATACCCATAAAGCCTAGAACATTCACCACATTGTCCTTCACAGAAAGAGTTTGCCGAGCCCTGTGTGTCAGCCTGCTCAGGCTGCCATAACAAAATACCCCAGACAGAGGGGCTTAAACAATGGAAATTTATTTTCTCACGGTTCTGGAGGCTGGAAGTCTGAGATCGGGGTGCCAGGTCGGGTTCTAGTGAGAGCCCTCTTCTTGGCTTACAGATGGCCGCCTTCTCACTGTGTCCTCACGTGGCGGAGAAAGAGAAGGAGAGAGCTCTCTGGCATCTTTTCTTATAAGGACACAATCCTGTGGGATCCGGGCCCCACTCTTCTGACCTTATTTAACCTTAATTACTTCCTTACTCCAAATACAGCCACCGTGGGGGTTAGGGCTTCAACATATGAATTTTGGGGGATACAAACATTCAGTCCATAA